CTTGCGCTTGTGAGGCAGGCAGCAGCAACACTGAGCTAAATCCCCGGTCCTGGCTGTGATTCTACTGGCAGGCAACAGAGTGGGAACTACTTCTCTAAAGGCAATGTTGGTCTAGATGAGACCTTCTGAGGTGTTTCACCTGAGCTTTCTGCACTGCTGCCTCCCCCGGCCCCCACCTGTGGCCCTGGCACCCCGCTGCAGAGGGAGGGGCCTCACCGTACAGGAGGGTGGAGATCCTCCTCTGTGCAAACATGGTGAAGCCTTCGTTGAGTTGGGACTCCCTCCAGTTGGCATTGGTGACCAGGTTCCCAAACCAACTGTGGGAGACCTTATGTATGATGACATCAGCCAAGGACCAATCCCCTGTGAGCAGGCCGGGGGGACAAAGGTCAGGCAAGGGTTCTCCATTCCCCCAAAGGGAAGGGACGGTGGCATGAAGAGTAGGTCGCACCTGCAGAGAAGTCAGGGCCCTGGAGAGGCCTGGCTCCTGCGGCAGAGCTCCCCTCTCTCCATGCCCAGGCCAGAGACCCAACCCACTCAGGACACAGTGACCTCGGCCCGGGCGACACTGTCCTCCTCCAGGCGCTGCCCTGCCCTGCGCCTTCCCTCTCTTCGAGGGGCCCACTCCCTCTGGGGCAGCTCAAGTCCCCACCGCTCTCTCTCCTCCCAAGCAAGGCAGCAGTCAAGGCCTGAAGGCCAGCAAGTCTGAAGATGTCAAAGGACAAAACAAGACAGGGGACTTCCTGCTGGGAGGAGGGGCCCTGAGTTTTTCCACTGCTCTCAGTTGAACCTGGCAACTCATTTGGGTCACACAGGAAGCCTCTCTCCCAGGATTCCCTCCTCGGAAAGCAGGCACCACCTGGCTCTTCCTGCCTCTTCTCTTCCCCTCTCCTTTGTTTCTGGGCTCAGGGAAACCTTGCTGTAGGAGATAGGAGGACAGAAGGGGCCCCAGCAGGGTCTTGATTTAATGAAACACATCAGTTAATGTGACACCATACTTTCCCCAAACATAAGATCCGAAAAGCTTCTCTCCTGTTGCCAGGAATTCTTCTATCACCCCGCTGTCCTCCTTGGCGGCCTCAATCAGGCAGGGCTCCGCCCACACCTGGCTCCTAAGGGCAAGGGCACAGGGAAGGAAGACGGACATGTGGACACCACCACAGGGACTCACACCTGCAGAAAACTGGCCTCAGTCCAGTCCTGGAGCCAATGAATGTGACAGTGTGGTCAGCCACAGAGACAGGAGACAGGAGATCAGACCACCTACACAGTCCCAGGGACTGCTCCCTACACTGGGGACATAAACCCAAGAGTCTCCTGGGGATGGAACAGCCTCATCTGGATCTAACCCCACAGTGTGTTCAGGGTGCAGCTGCTGTGCTAAGTGACAGTCTCAGGAAGTGACTTCTGCTCTCCCAGCCTGTGTGTTTTTTTTGTTGTTTTGTGTATGGTACCAAGGACTGAACCCAGGGCCTCAGGCATGCCAGGCAAGTGCTCTACCTCTAACTGAGCTACAGCCCCAGCTCTCCCAGCCTGTTTTCTTGTTTGCCACACAAGTGCTAAAGGCAAACCAAGACAGCATCCAAAAGGCCTTACACAGTAACACAGAGTAAATGGTAGTTTCCTTCCTATTCGCAGGACAGATAAAGAGCTCTAAGGACAGAACTGCTGGAACTCAAAGAAACCTTAAAAGACACACCTAGTAATTAATGTTAATGGCAAATTGCTAATTGTCTTTGGTGCAATAATCAGGGAGACCCTCCCTGGCTTACTTTTAAAAGATCTAAAACAAAACCCCATATCAATAAAAGTAGTATGACAAAATGGGTGGGCACAGAGCCGTTCCATGTATCGGATTTCCAACTGTCTATACATTGGAAATTTTCATGATTAACAGACAGAGAAACAAAGGTAAGGGGGAAATTAACAGAAATATCTGAGAAGATCCGGTTCACCTGAAAACCAAGGCTTCCAGGTACATGATTAGACCCAGACCATTTA